AATAATATTTATATTCTTTATTTAATTTTTATAATTTGATTTTCTTTAGATTTTTAATATATGTAATCTAATTAAGAATTTTACAGTGATAATTACCGAAATTAAATATTTCTTTTAACGAAATTAGCAATATATTTTTTTCCTTTCATTTTTTTAACCAAAATTAAATATTCCTTCGATGAAATTGCCAAAATTAAAATAGTCTTCAATTTTTTCAATTTTAATTGAATAATTTTTTTATATAAATTTGTTTGGGTCGTTATGAATTTAAAATTCTTAATTAGATTGTATATAAAAAAATTTAAAGAAAATGAAATTATAAAAATTAGATAAAGAATATAAATATTATTCATTTAAAATTGCAAAAATTGAATATTTCTTTAATTTTGGTAATTTAATAAAAGGAATATTTAATTTTGGTAAAAAAGTAAAAGGATAAAAAATATTTTGCTTATTTGGTTAAAAGGAACATTTAATTTTGGTAATTAGCAATTTAAAATTGACGTTTACGAAAAATAAATATTTCTTTTAAGCAAGTCCGCCAAATATTTTTTTCCTTTTTATTTTTTTAACCAAAATTAATATTCCTTTTATTAAATTACCAAAATTAAAGAAATCTTATATTTTTTTAATTTTTAATTGAATAATATTTATGTATTCTTTACTAATATTTATAATTTCATTTTCTCTAAAGTTTTTATATATAAAATCTAATTAAGAATTTTAAATTGATAATTATCAAAATTAAATATACCTTTTAACAAAATTAGCAAAATATTTTTTCCTTTATTTTTTTAATTTAAAATTATTTACTTAAATAGTCTTTGTAAAGAAATCTTCAATTTTTCAATTTTAATTAAATAATATTTATATTCTTTATTTAATTTTAATAATTTCCTTTTGTTTAAATTTTTTTAATATGTAATTTAATAAAGAATCTTAAATTGATAATTATCATCAGTGTAATTAATAAATCATTTTTTTATTAACATCGATGTAAAATGAATCTACGTCTTGCGTACAATAGTTATAATTCGATTCGCTCAATTTTTCTATGTTATGCTTTATTCCATTATTTCTTGTACAGTGTTCTTAAATTCAAATTTTTATCGGATGAATGACCATCTAGACATGGAGTTGAGACGGATGGCTTGAAAAACTACTTGAAATAGAAACTTTGACAGTTTCAATACCGTATTAGAGCAGCTGGATGATCAACACACTGATAATCTACGCTAGTCCTTCTTCTAGCCCTGTATATGATTTTAATTGTAATTCGTAAATATTGTCCACGTGCATTTTTTTATTTATGAAATAATTACAAATATTGTAAAATATTTATGCACACATTGTACATTTAATTTCTTTTGTAATTACGAAATAATTATAAAATTTATGTTAACATTGTATATTGAATTTTTTTAACATTGTCCAAGAACCATGAAAAAAAATTTAAAATAATTTCTGGTCGGACAATAGATACCGGACCCACCCGCACTCAATCAGACTTAGTCTAACACGCTAAGACACGTGGACGGTCTGATTAGATCTGAGAAAGGGCGTGAGAGCGGCTCAAAGGCGGGGGACAACAACGTTTGGAATTCAACGAGACATTTATACAACGATTGTACAATAATTATCAATCGCGGTCGGTGAATATATATGTGAACTTGTATGTATTGCAGGAGAGTGAAATATGTAGTAATTGTTCTTGTATTGAATATTGCATTAGTCTTTACGTGGGATATATGGGGGAATATTTATAGTGGTACAAGTTGAATCGTGACCCTCAGGCCTCGGTTGGGAGTATACGTGGCCTCATATTGTTGGTTTATATGTCTAATTCTAGGCATCATGTTTGATTATCTAGGCTGCTATACATTTATTAACTGGCAGAGCCATTGCTATGTTTGATAAAACAAGATACTTGCACTCTATGATGGGTGTCCCATCAAGCATTCACGGAAGATTCTTGTGTAAGACCGGATCTCTAGGGTGGAGTGATGCCAAAGATGTTCTAGAGTTCGGCTTTGGTATCTTGGGCTTCGATATGGACCACTTCAGCCATTGCACTTCAACCTTTCGGCATTTGGGCCACGTCACAGTTGTTGCTTCTGGATGTTGGGTGTTTACCATTCGTAGGGGCCTCGACAACGATGCCACATAGTTCGTCATTGGTGGGCCATGGCTCCCCCAGTGGGTCGGTCATGTATGTCAACATGTAACAGAATACCATCACGTATATCACTCGTTCATCTTCATACTCATCAATCATTTTCATTTAATTAAGAATCACAAAAGTAACAAACCGAAATTATAGTCATATCTACAAGATGAAACATAATTTTAAATTAATTACAATAAAAATTATTCAGAAATTTGTTTATTTAATAATTAAAATTATCAATTGTAAGAAAAAATATGTGGCAATAAAAATTATTTAAAAAATTAACATCAAAGCAGTGGAAACAGTCTAAAAACAGTCGGCTGGCTGTTTAAATGGTCGGTGGATTTGTTTAAACGTTCGTCTGAAAAATGCAGATGAATTTTTTTCTTGTATGCTTATAAAAAATTATAGATCCATTAAAAAAATTTATCCGCATTAACTAATCTATATCAAAATAAAATTTATCAATTAAAACGTACACTGATTTACCGAAAACGAAATTAAACATGAGTAAATATACTTATTGATTCGAAGTGATTGATATAAAAAAAAATCGGTTTTAGTGTTTGATTTTTATGAGATTTTGAGTTGAAGCAAATGAAAGATGAGAGTTTTTATCTGTGTTAGAAGCTAGTTTTGAAATTTTAAGTGAAAAGTATTTGATTTTCAATTATTAACTAAAAGGGTAATAATGTCTTTTAAACAAAATAAGGTTTTGTAATTGTATTATATAATTAAGGGTATTTTTGTCTTTCAATGTTCTAGAGGCTAAAGTAATAATATTTATGTTTTGAAAAGTCAATGTTGAATTTTGGTGATTTGACTAGGTTAAATTTAAAAGTACCCCCCCATATTTAATTCCTCTTTGAGCCCGTTAAAAGTATTTTCAAAACATGAAATATTCTCTATTTTAAACAGTTAACTTTTGAAACCATTCTTCAAGAGACACTTTAAGTCAACATTTTAATTTTAAAAGTGGGTTTAAATCTCCCGGAGGTGGATCCAAGAATTTTTTGTGCACAAGCTAAAATTAAAAGTCAATATAATATATTCATATATCGATTAAAGTCAAATTCATTTAATTTAAATTGTTCTCGATGAGGTTTTGAAACATAAAATTCATATACAACAGAATCTATATCTATCTTTTGATCAAGTTTTCGTTCGATGAAAAGTATCATACAAATCAGCAAGAAATTCATTCTTCATCAGTTGCGAAGGTTCATCTTTCCATGTTTCATTGCTAAAAATGCTTGCTCAATAGTCGCAATAGAAAACGGGTAAAGTCAGTACAAAACAGCGTTATCCTACAAGGAAGACCGCTTTTGTCATATATTGACTTAATTAATGGACAAGATTGATCGGAGATACTTTTAGTTATGATAGCAAAAGTTTTTATGTTATAAGGTTATACACATTTATTGGGTACATATGTGGCTTAATTGGGAGATTGTTGGAAAAATTTTAATTTGTCGTGTGAGCCGATATATCTAATTAATTGTGTATAAAGTTATCTCAAAGTTAAGTTCAAAATTAAAATGGTCTAATAAAAAAGTCAAAATCAAGATAAGAACTCAAGAGTCAAAGAGCCACTCTCTTGGTAATTTGATACGAAAGATTTTGATGAGAAAGATATTAAGATTTTTAAATTTTAAAGTTTCAGTTTTAAAGTTACTTTAACTAGTGTTTAAAAATTAATTAAAATAATTATTTTGAAAGAACTTGTCATACCAAGCCAACAAACATTTTCATAAAATTAATCATACACCTTCAACTCCTTTAATCTTTTTATTGAACCCCACACTTTGAACGTGCTCGCTTCGAGGAATCACGCAAAACAACAAGCGAAAGCACTTGGAACTTGGAAGACTTTTCCGTCGTCCTATAAAAAAGCAAGCAATGAACGAAGGGACGGAGAATCAAGCAGGAGGAGAGAGACAGTATCTGTCCACCTGTCATCACACTCGACTCTAGAGAGAGGAAAATCAACTCCTCCACCAGGTCCACCGCAGCCGCGGCGGGTCCTCCAGTCCTCCTCCATGTGACTCTATATGTACTGTCTAATCTCTATATAATTTTTTTATATATATATTTCTCTCTATAACCTCCGTGCTCGTGATTACAGATTCTCCACGGAATTTGTTGGATATATATAAATAGATGTTCTTTAATTTCAAGGTATACCACAAAGAACATTCTGGAAATTTTGTATTCTGTTCAAACTGCAAGTTTATTATCTTGGTATTGATTTAATTCTCAGTTAGAATTTCCAAATTCTTCGACTTTTGATTTCTTGCATTCGTTTTTAGCTGTTTTTCTTTAACTGGGTATCATTAATTATAATCTCGATTTTCCATTGAATGAATCTCTGTACAAAATGCAATTTTATTATCTGGGAATTAAGTTAATTCTTATCTTCTGCGAAAATTTAATCTTAATTACTCAATCTGGGAGAACCAATTTTCAAGTATAAAAGCAATTCGCACAATATTTTTGAAGAAATGTCGAGTTTTTGCAAGAGAAGCTAGGGATTTAGGGTTTGTTTGGTACAACTTATTTGAAAATCATTTTTCCTCAAATTCAGTTTCAATCTCATTTTCCCAAAAAATATTTTTAACTACAAACAATCTCTCCTGAACAAACAGAGTACCAGAGTTTTGTTTAGTTTTAAGAGGACATGAAAGGGAAAAAGTTCTGTAATCAAGAAAAGAAGTCAGCTTTTTTCTGTGTCATAGAAAGCATTACTTGTCTGTTCTTCTATTGCTTTCAAATTCCATATCGAAAAATTAAAAAGGGGGATTCGATTATATCCCAATAGTAGCTTATGCTTATTCCATCAATCTCGATCGGGGTAGGGGTTAATTTTCGAGTCATATAGATTAAGAATGGTGCGGTGGTGAGTAGATGTAGTTCTCGTGTTGGGGGTGAATGAGTATTTGTGTATTTGCTTAAGTGCATTTTTCCTTCGTTTTGCTTTAATATAGCTCTCCTGTTTGGGAATAGGGATGATTCTAACTCGGGGACGAGGTAAGGATTCTTGGATTAATTGTGACATTTTCGGGTTTTCCTAAAATTGCAGGGGTTCTAATTACATTCGAGACGAAAAGGTATGGAGGACAATCTTTTTTCCGGCATGGCTAATGGTCATCGAATTGAGGGCAAGGTTACTGAGACATTTCAGAAAAATTTTGTTCAAGTTCAAAATATTTTGGACCAAAACAGAGTGTTAATCAGCGAGATCAACCAAAACCACGAGTCGAAGATCCCAGATAATTTGAGTCGAAATGCAGGTCTAATTAGAGAGCTCAACAACAATATTCGAAGGGTAGCTGAACTCTACGGGAATATTTCCAACTCTTTCGCCAAATCTATGGAGGCGTCGTCTGAAGGAGAATCAGCGGGGACTAATAAATCCGATGGAATGGGTGGACAAAAGAGAAACCGATCCGAATTTCAATTTGGATAGAGAGGTATGCCTAATCTTTGATAGTGTAACTCAATAGCAGTGAAATTTTTCTTAAATCTTAATCTTCATAGTGAGCATTTTCTTTCATAAGAAAATAATTGATACACCTACTTTTGTAATTTATGTGACATGTTCATTGAAAACAAAGCATTAAGGGCATGTTTGATGTGGATTTTTTTGATAATAGACTTTGTGAAAAGTGACTTTTGGGGAGAACTTTGATTAGAAAGTAGGAAAAAAGTTACGGTTTAGTCGGAAATGAGTTTAAAAAATGTTAAGTCTTAAAGAATTTGTACCAAGCATGGACTATAAGTTTGATCTATGCATTTATCGATTATCTTAGATAACTGCCGTCTTCTCTTCAAATTACATGTTAACTATGATGCAAGTAACGTTCGGTGTACTAATCGAGTTTGGTGTTACTTGAAGTTTCAGCAGCCATCTATTCTTTTCCATTTTTCTCTAAAGATATTTGCTAATTGTTGTCTCTCTCTATGGAATTATTGGATTGAGAAAGGCATTTTTGATCACCACAGAACTAGATTCTAATACAGATTATTAGTATTTTGACCAGTGTTTGTCCCACTTAATTGTGATGTTTTGGCTGTTACTTTTTAGACAGAAACACTAAAAAAGAATCTTGGAGCTAGTTTGAAGGTTTTAAAGAAAGCTGTGTTGTACAAGGAACACAATATTTGCATCTTCTTATGTCAAATCACAAGGTAACGAGGAATTAAATGTAGAAAACAAAATCTAGAACACATAACAATTATTATAAAAAATAATGAAAGTCTAGTAGAACTGAATTGAGAACCTAATTGAGATAGATTTTTTAATAATAGATTTTGTGCAAAATTGAGTTTTTTGAGTATACGGTTAAAAAGTAGATAAAGATACGAGTTCATGTGTGAAATCATTATGTTGGGAGAATGTATAGTGGAAATAATTTTGGTAAAAAACGAGTTTTGGGAAATCTGTACCAAACGGGAGTTTCGTGACAATTTTATCGTTGAAATTTTGCTCGTGTTGTAATAAGGCCACTCTTTGTGCATTTGTTGGTTTATAGTTAATAGAAAGAGCGGTGCTTCATGGACAACCCCCTGTATGACCAGGGGGTTGTTCATGTGGGTTTTCCCTTATAGAAATGATAATGCGTTAATGTAGTTGGCGAGAAAATATTGCTGATAGATACCTATCAAGAAAAATTGACACGGCATTACAAATAAAAAGTAGACAGAAAAATGAAAAGGGACAAGAAAGTAAGTGCTTGTTTGGTAGGGATTTTATTAATTGATTTTTTGATTGTTAAAGATAAAGTGGATCCTATCCGTAAGAGAAGAATTCAAAAATGACGATTAAAATAGTAAAATAAAGGTCACAAAATTGATGTTAATTAGATTCAAATATCTACCAAACATGCTCTAAATAATGCATTAGGGGGTGCCCACTAGTTGTCCGAGGGTTGTTCATGTGGGTTTTCCCTAATAGAAATGATAATGCTTTGATGTAGACTATGTAGCTGGCAGTAAAAATATTGCTGATTGATACATGTCGAGAAAAAATGATACGGCATTACAAATGAAAAAAGAAGGAAAAATGAAAAGGGACAAGAAAGCAAATATCGCATTGACGTAGTTTCATCAAAATGTATTCTTGAAAAGTGATTTTTCATTTCAATCATACATTTTTCAATAAAATAATATTTTATACAAATTCAAAGCTTTTCTTATTTTTTAACTATTCATTATTAATTGAAACATTATTACAAAATATTTTTTTTTTTTTGATAAAAATGGGGCTCATACGTAGTGAATGTTTATTTATTTACACGATATGGATACAATTCGGGCATTCATGAGTCCACGTCTGTTGTCCCTGGTTTTCTGTCTGAATGACAAACTCTCCAATTATTTTTGAACACGCCACCTTAATTTTATATTACCACTCTCCAATTAAGCCCCATTTACGGTGATTAAAATAATGTTTTTAATAAATTTTGATAAAAATTGATGAAACGTGTGGTTAAAAAATTGTGAATTTCATAAAATATGTAATAAAAATTAATTATTGATTTGATTAAGATTGAAATCTAAATTTTAATTTTTATCAAAGATGGACTAAATTTTAACATGAGGACCTTAATTTTATATTATCAATTGTTACCTTTTCTGTCCAAAGCACAAGAGATTCTTCCACATCTTCTGACGCTCTCACACAAAATAATAACAAAAATAAAGAGTAATGCTATTTAGAGAAGTTGGCGATGGATTAGACTTGACATTCATTTACATGCAAATTGAAGTCTTACCTATCAAATATTTTTTATATATATTTTATGGATTCACACATTTTTTTTACCACAAAAAAACTATTTTCCCTTTGAAAAAATCATGTCAAATAAGCTTTTTAAAAAACTCTTTAATCATGAGATACTCGATATTTAAAAAGTCGATCCTTAAAATCATGTTTTAAAAGACTATTTAAGTTAACATTTTAATTTACAGAGTGCGTTTGGCTCCAACTTCACTTTCTACAATTAAATGTATTTAAGGTATTTCAATTCTCAACGTAGGAAAATGACAAAATAATTTAAAGAAAACTAGTTAAAATGAAAGATAGAAAAAAATACTAAATATTTTTTAGAAATAGTAAAATTAAGTGTTAAATATAAAGAACTCATTTAAGTACTTGAAAATTTTAACTCTCGAAATTTTCAGATGCTTCTCAAATGAGAGAATATATTCGTTAAAAATGAAGTCTTGTAGCGATGTTCCAAGCGCGTCTAAAATGCAAAGAAGATGTGAGGGGGAATATATTTGGAGTCATGAATTTCAATAGACAACTTTGTCATTCCTTTTCCTTGTCAAATAAAAGATTTATTTGGATACTAATTAATTCTTGTTATGAGTTGGTCACAACTTACAATAGTAAGAATTGAGCAAGAAGCAAGACTTGAAAAATCTTTGCCAACACAAGGTTTTCTAGAGTATTACCTATAGATTCCTTAGATCATCAAGAAACTTAATCTTCACTACTTTTGTATTACTGAAGCCCCTGAAATGGTTGAAGTAGAATGTAAACTTGGAAACTAGATAACAAATGACAAGTCCGATATACTTTTTAGTTAAAGAGAACGAAATACTGCAAGAAGTTTGTTTGAAACCCCAAAAGCATTCACGTTATTTGCTAGCTTATTTCGAGTTTGATGGAATTTTAAAGATGTATTTCAATTCTTTTATCAGAAGTATCATCTGATCATGGATTTCAATCTCGTATCAATAACATGATTCTGTTTGTCACACATTAAAAGTAAATAAAAGTTAATTTTTCCATTTAATCGAAGTCGAACGTTAGTATCAATGAAGCATTCACAACATTAATCATATATTTTGTAGAGCTCAATACTATTTATCCCAAAAAGTTTTTCATAATTTTTTGGGTCACGAAATTGGACACAGCCAGACCCAGTCCAAGTCGACGCCAGGCCATCCTAGATCAGTTCAGACCACAGTTATAACTCTAGGAACATTCTAGCCCATACGATGAAACAATTATCCATCCCGTCTTCCGAAAACCTCAAAAATATCCTCGTCATTCCCGATCTTTCCCACAGCCACCAGCTTAGGAACAACGCTAGTTACCCATTACAGAGCTTAGTCCTTCAAAGATGGCCACTCAAATGAGCAAAAAACGAAAGGTCTCCTCCACTCGTCCACCCTCTTTCTGTATCTTCGCATATAAGCTTGCTGTGTGTTTGTACTTTGTTTAAATAGATATTTGGATGGATTTGTAGTAAAAGTAAATATTTATATGATGAAGTATACGGGCCATTCTCAATTTTTCTATTTCGGACCAGTTTGTGGCAGATGGAGTGTTCTTTGCTGAGCTGAACGAGGTGCTAATGAGAGAGCTGGCGGAGGATGGTTACTCTGGGGTGGAGGTGAGGGTCACTCCCATGCGAACGGAGATTATCATAAGGGCTACTCGAACCCAAAATGTTCTTGGTAAATCTTAAATTTAAGTAATGCACGCACATATCTGATTTTTTATTTGCTTGCTTATTTATCTGAAGGGTTGGAATTTGCAGTTCATTATTTGGTTTATATAAACTGTTGCTCTCGAATTCTGTGATGATACTTAATGTGTGAAGTTTTGAATCATGGGTTCATTGGGTTCTTTAAATGTAGAGAAAATCACGAGCAAGAAAGGAATTAAAAAAAAAAAAAAAGAAAAGAAAAAGTACCCCTTTGGTACTTCATACAGATGCAGTTTTATATCTCGTATAACCTCTTTGTGTTTGTGGGTTCCGTTATTAGTTTGCATTATCTGCCAAATATTCATCTGATTTTGATGGATAATATGCACCCGTTTGTCCCCCATTATTCCCATTAAATTATAATTCATTTTTCTCCCTCTTCTTATTAAGTGCACATTCTTCAATAGAATAATATTACACGTAAATTCATAAACTTTTCCTTCCATTTTAACCACACTTTCTCCAAAAAGTTACTATTCTTCTCATTATAACGCGGAATAATGGGGGCCAAACTGGCGCTGTACCTGCCACAATCTTTTGATGGTTTAGTGTGGGGATTTGTTAGGTGAGAAGGGGAGAAGAATTAGAGAATTGACATCTGTTGTTCAGAAGAGGTTCAAGTTTCCAGAGAACAGTGTTGAGCTCTATGCCGAAAGAGTTAACAATAGGGGCTTATGTGCTGTTGCCCAGGCTGAGTCTCTGCGCTATAAGCTTCTTGGAGGGCTTGCTGTTCGCAGGTTTCTACTTTCACCTTGCATTCAGCTTTCTTTTTGTTTGATATCATTACCTGTGTATATTTCAATTTAGATTTTATTCGTTTTGCTCCAAGTGTAATGTGTGGTCATGCAAATGCTAGTTTCTTTGATTTGTCTTAAAACTCTCAATCAGCATGTCGGCCTTTTATTTAGCAAGATACAGACTGTTCCTCAAAGTTTATTCCTGTAAAGTAATAACTCATAACATGGAGCAGCATTGATTAAGTTTCTTATTTTCCCCTTAAGAATTTGGTATTGAAGGGGGCTTTAATCAATGCTCACATCAATTTGTGGAGTGAGGTTGGCCTCTTTACTTGCTCCGATGTAATGGGGTTTTCAAAATGCTCCTACATGGTCAATACATATTCTCATTTTTCCTTTGATTGTTATTAACTTTTATGCTGGTTGGCTTCTCTGATTCTACTGGCAATCATTGTATTGTCATAAGTTTTATTTATTACACAATGAAATTGGCCCAAATATTTTCCTCCTGTCAAGTAGTATTGCTACTGCTGGAAGATTTGGAGTTTAGAAAATGTTCCAAGCAAATTATTTGAAAGTTTTGTCTCCTTTCTTCTTCCTTTACTACATCATAAAAAGTAAAAACTCTGAAATCTAGACATGCTACATATATAATGTGATATGAACAATGATATTTTGCAAAATGGACTTTATTGGGTTTGGGTCTGAAGTAGGTCAAACTTATGATACCATGTCAACCAAATTATCTAGGGACCCTTAACCTGTATTTATAACAAATGATGGTATTTTTGCAAGTTTAGAATAAGAGAGTAAAGCCGGCTTACCTTATATATTTTTACTTGACCTCACTGCCCTTTTAACATCTAAACCCTAGATAAGACACAGTTACCACTCATTTTTGTTCCTTGAAACTTAATCTCTCTCTAGTTTAGCATTTCAACTTTCAAAGCTTCTAAAATTGCATGTTGGTTTTGAAATTCAAATTCGATCTTCAAATGGAAAATCAAATTGCAACAGAATAAAGATTTTAAAAATCAAATTCTGATTTTCACTTGATCAATAACATAATGTCAAGATCAGTTTTTGTAGTATTGTGCGAATCTATTAACGCCTTAAAACAAATGATTGTTGTATTGTGATTTCTTCTTCTTTTTGATTCTTCAAAAGGCTGACTCCAAGATGAACCATTGGTTTCTGATTCTCATAATAGTAGCCATCCACTACCTTTCATAGATTGGCTTAAATTATTGAATTGGACCAAAACGTCAACTACACCTTTTAGGGTCTGTTGTCACTGTATAGAAGAGTGTGATTATTTTCTTGGGCTTTTGATGTGCTCCACAAGGGAGAGTGATCAGACACTAAAATGTACAATGTGTTCTGCTACATAAAATAAAGTTTATCCAAGTCTAGAAATGGTGTCCACCAACCTTTACTCATAGAAAGTTCTGATCGTTGTCCTTGGTGGTTCAAACATTTAAAAATCGAAAAAAATACGCTACGAGAGGTATTCTTTCATTTATATGGGTAAATATTCAGAACTAATGATGTGCGCTTGGTTCTATCCTATGTTCTTGATTGGAAATCTGAAGTTAATTTTTAAAGTCTATTAGCTCTGTTTTTTATTTTTGAATTCAAGAAAGCAAATCTGTTTTTTGTTCTTCTGTGGATCCATTTATTATGTTTTACTTGATATTTGGAATAATTTCTAATTTGCTGTATAATCAACATCTCGGGGATGGCATTGATTGTTGGTAATCCTCCTCACTAAGCATGGGTGTAAGTGGATTTCTTCAATGCTTATATTGAATATTTGGAGTTTGACAGGCTTCCTGAACTGCTTTTATCTTAATGAAGTTTGGAATATTCTCCTACGGAGTTTTACATCTTAAAGCTTATTGAAAAATATTGTTAATTTGAATCGTGTCTTAACGTATCTTGAGCTTTCGCTCTTGGTCTGGACAATTTAGTGATGAAGCAAGTTGATGTGAAATTATGTAGAGGATCCTGATTTTGTTAGGCTTTGTGACTCAAATATGGTTAGGAGTATTGCGTATTTGATTTTTACTTGGAAAGAAAGATTGTATCCAAGTTCTATGCGTAATTGTAATTTAATTTTAACAGATTTTTTTACCTTTTAGGACTGTTCTAGGGTTTGGAACGTGGCCTTTTAGAGGAAGCATTATTGCCGTGTCTGTAATTTCTCTTCATATTATCGATTAATATACATTATTCTTCTATGATTAACTCTCTTTGTTCTTTACTTTTTATCTCATTTTTTTTTTTTTTTTTGTGATTTTTATTACTTCATATTGTGTCATTAATTTCATTCATTACAATCCCTCCGGGTCCAACATATTTTACCGTAAGGATCTCCATATTTTATACTGTACTTACAGTCCTATCAGAATTGGAAACCATCTGATCTACTCGAAAATGTGGAAACGAGAACAAAACCCACAAAAAGTTATTACTAAAAATCCATGGGGAAAGGCTAAGAATAAAATATATTTGCGCTGCAAATAATTATTACAAGTAGTGAAAATTGGTCAGATGATTTGCAATCAAAATTCACATTTTTTCCCTCTTCAGGGCCTGCTATGGTGTTTTACGATTTGTTATGGAGAACGGAGCAAAGGGTTGTGAGGTATGGTGATTGTTGTTCTGTATTCTCTTTGCTCAGGGTTTAGTCTTTATCAGCCTTGATTACAATCAACATTTATTAATTTCAGGTTATTGTTAGTGGAAAGCTCAGAGCTCAACGTGCTAAATCAATGAAGTTCAAGGATGGCTACATGATATCCTCGGGCCAGCCCGTGAAAGAGTACATCGACTCTGCTGTGAGGCACGTTCTTCTTAGACAGGCAAGTTTAGATGAAATTTCTTATCTTTTATGCCCGAACCTTCAATTTGATTGGTTATATATATGGTGCAGGGTGTTCTTGGTATCAAAGTGAAGATCATGCTTGAATGGGATCCAAAAGGTAAGCAGGGTCCGGTTAAACCCTTACCTGACCTTGTCACGATCCATCCACCCAAGGAAGATGATGTATACATCCCTCCGGCACTAGCTTCAACTGATGTTGAAATTCCGGTTGCATAAAATCTTGTTAGTAGCTGAAATATGAATTATGTAGATATATAATGTAAAAATGATGTCGCCTATCCAATTTTCTTGTTTTGCTCACGATCGATAAAGTCTACGTAAAGTTCTTGATCATATCCTAGTGGTTGTGTTCTGTCAATTTGTGAAATTCTGATTCCAATAGGGAGAATAATAATGTATAATATAATAATATGTTGTGCAATAAATTTTTGTTACCCTTAGGGCGGGATTTTTTTTTTTTTTTTTGGGTTAATGACGGCTCTATAGATTTCTTTCGTCTTGAAATGGGAACAAAACGATTCACCAATTAATTGGGGTTGATTATGTCCCTTTATTCTGTTCGCGGCTTGCAATGATTTTCTCAATGCAAGTTCTTTTCTTTCGGAAAGAAGTACGTTAATGAATTTATTTGGTGTATTGTGAAATGATCAAAGTATCTTTAAGATGTAGCACTAGACTTGAGTGGAGCGTAGCTTCTCATTTTGTTTTCATAATATTGTACAATATTATCTAATGTCACGTTTGATTGCACCTCATTCTATGGAAAATTGATTCCATTTTCTACTTTTTCTCATGTTTCATAGGTAAAATTTGGCATATAATTGATTTTCTCTCTTTTCTTCGCACGGTCACATTTTCATGGTTTTTGGGGAATTTCTTTTCCCACCACTTTGGTGGAAAATGATTTTCCATCTTTTTTTTTTCCTTTGGCTATGGGAACAAATTCTAGGAACAATTACAAAAGAAGATATCTCTTAAATTGACAATTTTTATGTAAAATAAAGTCAAACGAATATCAAAAGATAGATGATTTTTTTTTGTTTTTTGTAATAAAAACAAATTTCATCCCTAATATTAGTAAATCTATTCCTTTAATTGTCAATTTTCATGTGAAACAAAGTCAAACGAACCCAAAAAAAAACATTTTTATTTCAATTTTTTTCACGTGGAAGATTATACCAATCAAATACAATAATTTACAATTCTTAGGAAAACAATTTTTAGGCAATTCAATTTCCTGAAATTCGTTTTTTTTTTTAATTCAAATTTCATCTTCGCAATCAAACGGATTTTAATTGTATATGTAGGTATTTTTGTTTTATTTTGAATTTAGGACCAAACAACATTGATAATAACTTTTCTGTTTACTTGATGATCATTCCCGGACCTGGCTTCATATGGCTTTATGCAAACTAGGGTGTGTGCAAGGAAGAAATTAAAGCAAGAATCAAGAATCAGGCTGATACATCAATTGAAAAAGTGAAAGAAAAAAAAATATTTCTACAAGATTGAAATTACCGAGTCGATTTCTTTGTTGCCAATAACTGAAATAAGTACACTGGGCCAAATATGATCCTAATAAAAAAAAGAGCATCATCGGCTATTTTAAAGAAGTTATGGACTGGGATCAAGAATTGGATGGCACTCGAAATAGAGAGGAAGAGAAGAAGCAAATAAGGCTAACTCTCAAACGACGACCTTGTACTTATATTGTATATTGATATTGCAACCTACGCTATACCTTGATATTGCAACTTCACTAGAAGGATTTTGCTAAAGTGATAGGGCTCACACTAGGGAGGGCATGTCATAGGCCCTGGACGAATAGCAAAAACCGCGGTAATAAGGGAAGTTTCCAACCCTTCAATTCCCATTTTAATATATGAAATTACTTTGTTCTTCTTGTAAGAGAAGTCGGATAACGACTCGTGACAACCTATTAATGCAATTTGTATTTCAGGGTTTATTTTGGCAGAAGTGGTGAATTTAGACTACTATTGCTATCGACTGATTACATGTCCAATATCATTAACTATACATGTTGTGATTCATGCATTTGAAGATGTATCGGGATTATTGAATAAACTTATATGTTTATTGATAATATGCCTTTGCTTGAGATTCATTTCTTCAAAAACTCAGTTTAATAACATATTATATTATAAAATAATTATACATGAAAATATAAATTTTTCTTATTTTTGTAATTTTTCATTTTTCAAAAAATTACTATTTTAAGATCCCACCTGATATTCATTTTTGTAAGAATAAAAATGAAAAATATAGTTGTTACGGGACTCACACAATAAATAAAAAGTCAAATATGGTGACTTAATGTGATAAATAACGATCATATTTTTCATTTTTGTGACCAAAGAATGGAAATCAAACGGAAGCTAAAATATAATCTCTCAAAAATGAGTAACCGAATGCTTACATCATAAGCCATAAAGGTCATAAGAGGAACATTGCTTTTCCATGGGGACATTTTCGTCATTTTAAGCCGTTGAACTTGATGCCCCGGTATCCGTACCCGCTTTAATGGAAGAGCAAGCAAAGCAACCACGGGCATATCCGGATTCTGCCTCCATCTCTCAAATCAAGTTGATTCGAGATTTGGAATCCGACTAAGTACACACTACACCCAGCGTGCTGGTAAAGCAAACAAAACACGTACTGACTAAACTAAAAAAAACACAGAATCCCCAAATGCAAAATTAAATCTCAAATTTTTTAATTTCCTTATTTTTTCAATTATCATCTTTCAATCGATTAAACTATCCAAATATTATCTTTTCCACATTTTCGAATTTTTGATTTCACCCGGGCACCGGAATATTCCAATCCACGGTTTCAGTTGCTCGATTCTAATCAAGTTTTTTGAAACCTTCTGTGATGAGGTAAATTACTGTTTTGATTTTATTCTGGTAATCGGTCACGATTGGAAGTGATTAATTTTATTTATTTTGAAAATATTTAATGCATGTTTTGAATGAAATTTCGTGTGTGGGATTTTGAAAGGTAAAAATATGTTGGAGACAAATATGTGGCTTGTTTTTTTTGTTTTTGGGTTTCAGTTAGTGTTCATGAGTTGCATGTGCTGGATTTTTCAATGGAAACAGTAGTTGATATTGTGGGAAATGAGGAAGCTAAAGTTGAAGATAGTGTTGCTGCAAGAAATAAGCCCACTCCAACCTCCCTGCAAATGATTGCTGATCCTGTTGTATATCAGCTTGTTCGGGTATACCACTATTCTTAAATTAGATTATAATTGACATTTATAATCCACATGTTTTTGTAAGATATCTTGATGCTTTTTAGTGTTGAACTGAATTATGATTTAAGTTTATGTTGTTAGGTTTCAGCTATTTCTTAAGAATCTTCTGATGCCTGACTTTTAATTGTGTGGTAGTCGTTGAACATGCTTCTAAGTTGTTAGACTTGTTAAATTACCCTTGAAAATTTTTTCTGAGTGAACTACTAGTTGCTTGTGGACATACACACTTGGTAGGAGTGCCTGACTCTTCTTCATATGAAAATTAACAATGTCTATTTACTCATGAGTATCTCCATAAATACATTCGTGCACAAGGAGGTAATTTCTATAGATGACAGATGGTTTCTGACATTCGTAGGCGGTAACCATTAACCAGTGATGGAAGACTATTATTTATCAAAATATCCTAATAATAAAATACAGATATTAATTATCATCTGGAATGCATATGTTAGATGGTTGTACACGCTGTTCGTTTCTTGTTTCTTCTTCGGACCTTGCTTTCATCAAGGGTGAGGGATTGATTGTAATGTGGTGGTTTATTTTGGTTTCTAACTTTGCTCTCGTGTGGATCAACTCTTCATCTCATATTTTATTATCTATGAGAAAGTACATTTAAAGTATTTGGACTATCACAGTGGTTGTGAGAGAATAAATACAATCTGATTGTACTGTCTGCATTTGATAATCTCATGCTATTAAACTGTAGAATGAACTTAATTTAATAGTTGAGTTGATATATTTTAGTAGATGCAAATAGAGCTTTTTAAGTTAGAAATCCCTGTGAGCATAATCAGGTAAGTTGTCATGGACAGTGTGAGGTAATATGATATCTTTTCTTTGGTGCTTTTTTGGTGGCGGGGCTTTGACTGTTTATCGTCTTTTAAGTAATTATTAGTTGTGATTATAATAAACTAGGTTGATGGAAATGGGAGATTAGTGCCTGCGACTGAGGATGAAGTTATGGAAGTAGAGGACTTGCTCGAAGATGACAAGAGCGAAAATAGATTTGTTTCAGACTCTGGACAAACTGTGGAATGCAATACAAATTGCGAACATGATCTGGATAAACTTCAGTTCAAAGCTTCAGAAGGTCGCTACTAGAATTTTTTTGTACTTTTGTTTATGTTCATGTGTTTTGCTATGCTACCATGAAATCGTGATGATTTTAGCACAAGTGATGCATTTTCTTTGATTATAATCACTTTGAAGGACTCAGCAGGTCATTTGCTACAATTCATTCTAGTTGGAGTCATATATTTACCACGTTACCTTGTCATTGTGTGAAATGTGCCAACGTACTTTTGCTTTATTTTTTTCCTTGGTTTTCAGATTTGTATCCTTTGAAAATTTTCATCTTTGAATGCTTTCCATGTTCCAAAGGAACAAGAATCCTCCTCCATCTGATAATTTGGTTTTGGACCTTTTTTTTAATTTGGCTCCTCTCTCTTCCTTCAACACTATGCCATATATCGATTTTTTCCTGCATTATATGTTTCTTAGACTTATTTGTATGACAGGGTTACCACTTGATAATGTAAAACTTGATGATGAAACCCCAAATGTGCCACCCGATCCTGTAGCTGATTTTGAGAAAGTAAATGTTCAACCTGAGGTACTCTATTTGGTCTTTTATGGGACGTTTTAAAATACTACAATTTAGTTCTTTTCATCCCCCCTCTCCCATTAATACTTTGCTTCATGTAAGAGCTTCATATAAGAGATCCTGTGTCTTTTTGATTTGGATGTTGGCCCTGCCATTTCCACTGATGAGAAGATCTGCTTTGAATGTACCATGCAGCAAAGCGTTGCTCTGTTGGCTCCAACTGCAGATTATGTCAGTATTTTCCAACTTGAGGGATCCCCAAAACCTTCCAATGGATTGGTTGAGAACGAGACCTCCACTTCTGCCATTGGTACTAGTTCAAAGCCTGATTTTTCTACGTTGAAAGGTGAGATACACGTGGATAATCTTACAGTAAAAGAACTTCAGGAGACTTTCAAAGCAACTTTTGGAAGAGAAACTTCTGTCAAGGACAAGCAATGGCTCAAGAGGAGGATATTAATGGGATTGACCAATTCATGTGATTTCTCAACCACGACTTTGGTCATCAAAGACAACGGAGTGGTAAAGAAATGTAAAGAAGAAACCTCTAATAGTGTGGAACACAATATTTTGAAAGACCCGGAAGTTGGATCTACGAGCGAGAACCATGAAAGTTCACCGACGTTCCATGATAGCGAGAAGGAAAGCCACTCAAACGCCACAGGCATGAAATTGCAGGATTATCCAACAGTGGATAATTATGGAAACGAAGATACTAACACAGAACAAAGAGCAACAAAAAGAGTCCGAAAGCCTACCAAACGATATATTGAAGAACTTTCAGAAGGAGAATCAAGGGATTCCTGTGCAAAGTTAATCTCCTCGGTCGGCCATCGTGCGTATAGTCAGCCATCCACAAACATGCATGTAACACCTGTTCAAAAAGTTGGACTAGATGGAAGATGGCTCATAAGGCGAGACTCACTTGGAGGTTCTGGAGTTCAGGTTCCATATGTTTCCAGGATTCGCCGGAGCCGTCCGAGGGAAAACTTTATGACTCTCATGGTAACGTGAAAAATACCTTCTTAGTTTTACAAGTTTGGATTTGAGAATCTGGAATAGTCACGATCATTTTCTGTGGTCTATTTAAATACTTTGAACTGCATTCAGTTGAACAAATAACAAACACGCATAGTTCATAAAGCCATTTGATGCTATAAGTGGAACCACTTTTGCTGCTTGATTATAATTTCTTTGGTAGCTAACCTACCTTTATTTGCATCTATTCCTGTCGTGGATGGAGCAAGTTGAGTGAGTTCTTCCCCCTTTCTGCCAAGGGCATAAATTCGTTATAAATGCTGCTTCTGCTCCAGTTTTACTTTTCCATTTAGAATCTTTTGAAACACGAAATCATTTCCTGTCTTCGTTAGCATTATATTCTATTTAGCATTGAAGAATGGTCTGTTGTTAAGCCAAAATGTAACTAATGTATGACTGGAAGGGTTTACTATATTTCGAAGTACTTTTGATGGAACAGGGGGATGTGATACTGGCACTGTAAGCTTGTTATATTGTGGTTAACAGTCTTTTAGATATAAATATATAATATGTAGAAGTTTAGCCTAGTAGCTTGGGCATACCAACCAGACCGGTACGTGGCTAAAACTAGACGTTGAAATTGGGAAAAAGTATTCAATGCCGACTCGTTTCCCGACTCGTTTCCCATATGGATTAAAGATCATCTGAGATAGACTTGTACCATCCTCCTAATTTACATTTTAGCAATACTTACTACCTCAAATCTGGATGTTCACTGTCTGAACTAGAAAGATTAACTGAACCTTGTTGAAGCTTATTTGGGAATGCAACTCAAATGAGTCTTGTCTCAACTGCCTGGGGTTGGTCTAGAAAATCTAGATAATACTATTTTGTTATGTCTTACTACGTAACTATTTTGATAGATATCGAAGGTAGTAGTTATAACTGACTCTAGTTAACACATCTTTGATTGCTCCTAGGTGTCTAAACTAAGAGCTACACGATACAATGTATAATAACCCAAAATTCTCTACATGTCAATAGCCTAAGTTTAGGGACCAAATTGATGCTTGATGACCATAGTTTAAGGACCAATTTATACAGAGACTAAGGTTCAAGGACAAATTTACACATCAACTATAATTTAGGGATCATATCGCATACCGATGAAAGTTTTGGGGCCAAGTTTCATACACATCCATAGTTGAGGGACTATAGCATATATATGTGTGTGTGTGCGCACACGCACACGCGCACACACACACACACAGAGTATCTACATACGGTAAGAAATAATTATTGCATGTTTTTATTATGGTAAGGAATAATTTGATGCAAATTTTGGTAGCTACCATAATTAAAAGAATCAATTAAGGAAACTTTCATTTTTTATTTAATCATACCAAAAATCAAAAAGGTAATTAACATATATGATATGTATGTATATGTTAACTACCATAATTAAAAGAATCAATTAAGGAAACTTTCATTTTTTATTTAATCATACCAAAAACCAAAAAGGTAATTAACATATATGATATGTATGTATATGTTAACTACCATAATTAAAAGAATCAATTAAGGAAACTTAAAAACCAAAAAGGTAATTAACATATGTAATATGTATGTATTTGTTAATTACCATAATTAAAAGGATTAACTAAGGGAACTTCCCTTCTATTTAATTGGAATAATAAAATGGAAATGGTAAAATATATATATATATATATATATCCCCCCAAAAACACACACGAACATTTTTTCAAAAATTCTCCTACGTGCTAATACGATCATCAAATTCAAGGTAAGTGAAATACATGTATTTCATTGTTTAAAATTACAGAAGTCAATATTATGATCATGTTATGAAATCATGGAGTTTAGTAGCACTACACATGAAATTAGCACCACGAAGTTCGGTTTTTATAATTTCGTGTCTCATCAAGTATGTTCACAAATCTCATGGACTTCAGTTATTCATGTTATGTTATTTCACTTATTTAGATCATCATTTATACGAAACATGATTTTTTTCTAGGTAATAATTAATTAGTGATTTGAGATGGATGAAGATTGGGCGAGCACACAACGGTCGCTAATAAAATATTTTATTGATGTTATGTTATGATTTATTGATGTTTTGACGATCAAATTATTTTGGTTTTAAAGATTTTAAGTTTGAATATGTTGTTCTTAATTTTCATTTTCTTTTGAAAACTTTTATGTTTTAATAAAGTGATTGTTCAAGAATTTTATTCATTAAAAATATTAAAGTTATTGTTCAAGAATTTTATTCGTTTTACAATGAGTTGCATTTTGAATTCTCATACCATTGAGGGTATCTTGTGGCATCTTCATTTCTAGTTTTTAATGATGAAGTAGTTCGTAAGTAAAGATGACAAGTTCTCCATTGCTGATGGGAACTTTATGTGCGTAGCCTGTTACTTCATCTGATAAGCTGTACACTGAAAGGAAAGTTGAGCTGGAGGAGCTTAAGAACTTGGATTCAAATGAGAATTCAGATGATGACACGGTAGCTATGCCTGCAGCAACTGGAAGAATGAGGAGGAAGCATCATCGACCTTGGACTCTAAGTGAGGTTGTTAAGCTAGTTGAAGGGGTCGCCAAATATGGTGCTGGTAGATGGTCTGAGATTAAACGCCTTGCCTTCGCATCTTATTCTTATAGAACCTCTGTTGACCTCAAGGTAGGATAAAGTATTTTATAGTTAATCTAGTCAAAGCAGGCTTAGTCTCCACTTACAGCTTAGGTATGAGATTGAACTTTGTAATTTTCTTAAGATTCGCTAACATATTATTATTTTGCAGGACAAGTGGAGGAATCTGCTGAGAGCTAGTTTTGCACAGTTGCCAGCTGAAAAGGGGGTGAGCAAATTGTTCCTTTTACATTCATCTTAGGCTCTCAGCACACCTCCCCACCCCCCAACCCACACACACATTACACAACCAACCCTTCCACACATAAAATGCTCGACTTAAATTTGATTTGGAAAGTAGATATCTGCTAATTTAAAGTAAGATTATGCTGCTAATAAACATGAACACCATATACCCTTTTCTTTACTCTTTCTTAATATTTGGAGGGAGGTATGAAGTTTAGTCACCAAGGAACACTTTTATGAATTGACTTTGTCATTTCACACCACACTTGTAATTATGGTTTGGGCAGACATTGATCATTGCATGAAGATGTTTGGAGTAGTTAATTTTATATTTAGTATTAATGTGCTTTTCAAGTCTGGTTGACATATTCCCTGTCTATTAAGCCTGATTGGCTGGAATAATTTTCGTTATGACAGTCCATTTCGGATTTTGACGGTGCTAATAGTGTTGATTTCTGATCATGTTCTTTTGAAGTGGTTGTATTTATAATGGTTGCTACGTGTTGTTCTTTTACATTTGGAGTTCCTGTGAACTGCAGATCTATTTTTGAAACTCAAGTACATTTTTGGCAAAATTTAAATTATATTTTAAGCTGGTCAAACATTTTTTTTATTTTATTCCCACATTCCCTGTGACCACAACTTACTACTCAGTTATTATCCACACATTTCATAAGACCCACATATTATAATCACTCAAAAGAAATATAAAACATACTTTACAAGAGGGAGAGAGAGAGTATTATTGTTATTGTGTTGGGAAAAGAGAAGGGGTGGGGGGCGATGTGACATTTACTTTCATGCTCTACACCCTCAACACTAGAATTTTAAATTTCTGAAGATATAATTTCTTGAACTCTTTATCATCCGTATGATGCAAAAGATTCTCATTTTAGTTTTTATGTACTATATCATTTCAGATTTACGGTTGCTTGCTCTGCTGAATAATGTCCTGCAACCATGCCTCAAATTCTTCATTTTGCTTCTTTCAAATATCCTTATTTTTATTTTCCATTAAGTGGAGTTTAACCACTTCGATTACAGATGCAGAATTCCCGTAAACATGCTTCAATTCCGATCCCTGCTCCAATTCTGTTACGAGTAAGAGAATTGGCTGAAATGCAAGCACAGGTTCCTCCGAGCTTCAGCGCAAGCAAGTTTGCTGGACACACTGGTAGCGATAGAAGTGGTGTACATGAATAAGTCCAGAGTTCTCTTAGTATTGCACATACCAGATTTTAGTTGTCTAAATTAGGAGCAAGTTTGATAGAACTGTCGTTACTGTAACTGTTTGGTATCGCGTTGATTGTTGGGCATTTCTTGGACGAATAATAGTTTGTGGACTACGATAACTGGTGTTTGTTATTTTGAGGCTCAAGTCATTTCGAGGTGCCACTCGTTCAATATTTGTAGCTTAACGTGTAATGAAGCAGAGAAATCTTTTGCCTTTTACTGTCAAAATTTAGATCCAAATCTGTGCTTAAATGTGTAAGAAAACATGTACAATGAGCATGCAAGCTGGCAGAATGAGTACTGGGAAGAATGAAAATTTACAGCATGCTCAAATGTTTTTGAGTTTTGCCATTCAAACAGGGCCAATGACAGGAACACCTCGGTCTTTGTTATGCTGCGGGCCTCATGAAATTCAAGATCCACCTCGGTTCTGGATTTAAACCTGCGATTTAATCCCAGGTTTTGTAGCAGAGTTCAATGCTTTTCTACTTGTATATTTATGCTGAACTGATCTATAATAAACAATTTATAAAGTCGATTAGTTTACATGTCAATGACTTTTAACCAAGTGGATAATGTTAAAAAGTGATGCCTATAACGCGTTTGTTTACTCAGTATAGGATTATGCTTCTGCACATCGGCTTATTAACATTTCCACTCTTAGTTTAATTTTGTATATGATGCTATTTATAGAAAATATTTTATAGTTTTTATCTACATAAAATGAAAATGGAACACAAGAAGTCTCTTCAGTTATAGGTGAGATATGTGTCCAAATACGATGTAAGATAATCCTATAAGAAATAGGATATAAGCTAGTTATTATTAACGGCCATTCTCATTTTTTCACTCAACTTGGTCCCTTTTAAACAAATTGCTCTTTGTAGGAAATTATTTTTTTCATTTCTAGCAAAAACGTGAACTCTCTAAAGTCACACGTATATAAATATATAGATTATTCTCCAGCTTTCTCGCGTCTAGCTCAAGTTAGCATTGTTTTTTTCCAACAATATTTGATTAAAAAAAAAAAAAAGAGCCTATTACACATATTGTACAGCATGGCTTACTATCCCCTCACAATACGGAAGTCCATGAATTTTTTATTCATGGTAGGTCCTCTTTCATGTGATGGGGCTGTACACCACTATCAGTATTCCTCAAAAAATTCGAACCATGCCACCAAGCATCAAACCCTAGACATTAAACCATTTTACAAAAAGTAGGAAACATTAGGGGTCATTCTCCATGTTTCGCTCTTGTAGTTTTTAGTTTTGAATTCATTTTGGATTTTGTGATTTGAGTACATGTTTTGAAATTGTTAAAAAAATGTTCTTTTTGTGATTTCTGCAAAACTGTTTTTCAAAACACAAAAATGGAAAATACGTTTGCTTTGAAATTTTGAGAATAATTTTAACAATCGTCGAAAATCACCACATGTCACCCACTGCCACCACCACCACCACCACCGAAAATCACCATTGTTAACAATTTTTAACAACGCTGCCACCAGTCACTACTGTCAATCAAAATCAACGCAACCACCACTTCCATTGCTAAAAATCACCATTATCGACCGCCACCAGCGCCATCAACCACTGCCAAAATCAACACCACCACTATGAACCATCAACTAAAATCAACACCTCCACCACCACCATGAACCGTCAACCATTGCCACCACCACTGCCAAAGGGGAGAAACGCAGAAAACAAAGAAGAAAAGGGGGAAATGCAGAAAAGAAAATCAACCAAAATCAACATCACCACCACCACAATCAAACATACCACCACCAAATCGACAGTGAACTTTGCCTCCCCTAAACTGTAGTTGGCGTCGAAGAGAGAAGATGGAGACGGATGCAAAAGAATGGGTCGCGACGTTACGTTCACAGTAGCGTCACCTCTCAACGCTGGGGCTAGCATCGGCACATCACCTTCGTCGCCTCTCCACGTTGAAGCCGGGGTCGAGGAAAGAGGAGGAAAAGAGTTGAAGGAAGAGAGAAGGGAGACGGGGAGACGGCTTAATGGTTTCTCTCTCCTGTTTTGCGTGTTTTCAACATGTTTGGGTTTTGTACAGAAAACGTCCAAAACGTCGAAAAATTTGTTAATACTTCATACATATTTGAAAAGTTCGATTAGTTGGTTGAAAGACTAAAAAGTGAGCTTTCGAGGGGGCACGCATGCAAGAAGGAAGTTTGAGTTTGATGCAAATGGCTAATATTAGCCGAAACATCTCCCAATTGAGTTTCAACTATTGGTAAGGCGGTCAAACTTCCTTCACGAGAAGGTGCGGCTGGATCACTTCCTTTTCAGGGAGTGCCACAACTTTCTCCATTTTATTTTTTTATTTTTGTAAAGAAGAAGAAAGGAATTCTATTTTCTCGCCTATTTACAACGGACAAGTAAATTCATTCGAAGATTAATGACGAAAGGTTGGTTTGTTTATCCACGATTAGATAATGCGTTTTCTTTACAATTATTTTTTTTTCGAAAATTCATTTTCGAAAACATAAAAGAGAATTCATTTTCACTGTTTTCAAAAATCTAAAATAGAAAACAGTTTGAAAACAACAAAGAGAACACGACTTAGCCCCTGTTTGCTTCCCATTAAATTAAATTACATTATATTTTATTTTTCTCTCTCCTATTTTCAACCATACAATCTTTCATAAAATAATATTACACGTAAATCGAAATTTTTTCGTTCTTTTTCAATCATTCATTTTTCTAAAAAATACTATTCTCTCCATTTTCATTTTCAGGTAATGAGGGTCAAACGGGGGCTTCAATTTTAGTACTTTTTTAGCTCGACATTGTCCAATACTGACACACGACTTTAGTTTTCTCTCTCGCTTTGGTGGCAGAACGTACGCTATCTCCTCAGAAGCCCTAGACGTTCTTCCACTTTCCACCAGCTAGCTCAAAGTAGCATCCGGAGACATTTTATTAGGTAATTTTGTTCTTGAAGTTGCATTGGACTAGCAAATTACGCCTAGTTTACGAGAAAATTGTTGCTTATCGACTATTGATTTAAATCACTTTGCTTTTATTGACATGACAATCGGCGCAGTTATTGGTTATTCCTATTTGATATGACATATCTTGTTCTAAATCATTGCAGATAAATTTGAGGAACCATGGGTATTATAGAAAAGATCAAAGAAATTGAAGCCGAGATGGCTCGAACCCAGAAAAATAAAGCCACTGGTAAGATGCATTTTAATCACCATTTCTTGTGCAACTCTCTTTTTCTCTAAATCTAGAGCGGCGGTGATGACTAAGACTTAGGATGAGAATGTTTACATGGTATTTAGTAATACAGAGTTAGGGCCATATATTTGGAATTTGGATGGATAATTAAGGTTTTTTTTTGACTAATTATATATGTAGCTCACATGTCAATTCTATTTAGTAAACATAGTTCAGCTCTGTAGATACTCTGCTTGGATTCCCCACATATTTCAGAGTTTCTGATGTGACATGTTCCTTATATTACTCGTCTGGTTGAAGAATTTTTCCTTCTTTAGGTCTGTTAATTAGGTACTAATTTGAATTCTCTTCCTTGGAAACAGAATATCACCTGGGTCAGCTCAAGGCTAAGATTGCAAAGTTGAGGACACAATTATTGGAACCCCCAAAAGTATGCAACTCTTATAATTTTTTCACGGTTTATCTGATAACTCATATTGATCTGTGTATAACTCATATTCCTTGTTCTCTTAATCTCAGGATTATGGACTTTTTTAATGCATGTGATTTTACTTGTTGGAATCTTGAAGTTTGAACCCTTCAAGTTTTCCCCCGTGTAATGACTATTTAACATTTCTGCATAAGTGATGTTCTATCTTGATAATTCTTCAATGCTGCATTAGGGTTCTAGTGGAGCTGGAGAGGGGTTTGAAGTTACAAAATTTGGCCATGGACGTGTTGCACTAATAGGATTTCCCAGGTTTGGCATTTTATTACTTAAGACTGTAGGTTCTAGGAAAATATAATTACCATCAAGAATATAGATAGGATGGTTAAGGGATTTTTCTTGAGCTAGTAAAAATGGATTTTGATTTTGTACATGATGTTGGGTTAGATGGGCCTTAGCAAGTGAATTGATGTGTTATGAACTTGTACTTGTTTCTAGCTCACGTGTGAGGGCACTCACAGCATTGATGGGGACGCAATCCACTCCTTCCATAGCATTTCTTTTCTACTGGTTTTTCACAAACTAAAGATAATGCTTCCACGTTGCAAGTGTAAAATGTAGCATGCTGATCTTTAAGATGCATCTGAACTTCCAAAATGAAGGATAGTTATTCACCTGCATGTTCTTCTTTCTCCGTGGCATAAAGAAATTCTTCAAAAACAAACTTGTGGTCTATTATTTTTTATTTTTTTAACCTTTTACAGTGTTGGAAAATCGACGCTCTTGACAATGTTAACTGGAACGCATTCAGAAGCTGCATCGTATGAGTTCACCACGCTTACCTGTATCCCCGGTATCATTCATTACAATGATACTAAAATCCAGTTGCTTGATCTTCCTGGAATCATAGAAGGTGCATCTGAAGGCAAGGGGCGTGGTAGGCAGGTAAAGAATTTGAACTGTAATAACATTGAGCTACCACTTGGCTGGTGAGTTTGGACAAATGTGAAGATGACATTAACCATGATTAGGGCATTTTCAATTTTAAGCTCAGGTCATTGCCGTTTCCAAATCATCAGATATTGTGTTGATGGTTCTCGATGCTTCAAAAGTAAGTGTTACTCTTTCAGCTGTAATTGTAGTCTTGTAGTCTGGGGTCTGTTTAGCAAATGATGGTTTCTGTTTTGTCATGTTACAGTTGTTTTGTGCTTTCGTTTTTTTTTATCGTTGTGGTTTTGAATTCACAACATCACATCATTTCCTATTGGTAAACTCTTGACACAGACTATTCTTTCGCCTTCATGAGTGTGTCAACGTGCAGTGATGAGCGAGGAATGATCAGACACTTATAATCTTCCCACAGCTCTTGCTCCCTATAACCTGTGTGTTTGTTTCCTTAAAAGCATATCTATAAAACAAAATGTTATTCTGATAAGTGATAAGAAACAATATGGTTACTGGATATTATTATTTCTGGGTGATGCCTTATTTGGCTGTTAAAGTTCCTATTAGGAAGAAGTTATTTGCTTTACCTTGTCTGTTTGATTAGGTTGATGCAATTATGTCTTTTTCCATGCTCAATTAGAGTCATCTGTAATGTTACATCCTGTAATGGTAGTAAATAAATAAATTAATAAATAAAAGATTTACCAAGTTTCATGAATTTTAAAAAGCATGGTGGTACTATTTCAGCATTTGTTTCATCTAGCTATTAGCAACTTGAACCCAGATGATTATTTCATATGCAAGCTTTTGTGTTTCTGTTGAGTGGAGCCCAATATTTTCCCTTAGCTTGTTAACCGACCAAGGAAAATTTCAGAGTGAAGGACATCGTCAAATATTGACGAAAGAGCTTGAATAATAAATAAAAGATTTACCAAGTTTCATGAATTTTAAAAAGCATGGTGGTACTATTTCAGCATTTGTTTCATCTAGCTATTAGCAACTTGAACCCAGATGATTATTTCATATGCAAGCTTTTGTGTTTCTGTTGAGTGGAGCCCAATATTTTCCCTTAGCTTGTTAACCGACCAAGGAAAATTTCAGAGTGAAGGACATCGTCAAATATTGACGAAAGAGCTTGAAGCTGTGGGCTTGCGTCTGAACAAAAGACCACCTCAGGTAATGCATTCTTTAATAGGCCATTGTCTGTATGCGTATTTGTATTTTCTTGCATTTTTTTTCCTGAATCTTGTTTGCTTAGTATCACCAAGATATAAATATAAGCTTGCATATTGGGAAATTTTGTTATGACAACACAATTTGAGAAGTAGACATTATTTTGAGAAAACTCAAAATTGAAGAGATGGCATTCAATTTGAAAAGTAGTTCATGTTGTATTTGTTCTCTTTTTCTGGAACTGAACTTTTATTTCTGAATCTTTTGCATCATAATTTGTGATATTGGATCCGACAGATATACTTTAAGAAGAAAAAAACTGGGGGAATTTCTTTCAACAGCACCTTACCATTAACTCACGTGGATGAGAAGCTTTGCTATCAGATATTACATGAATACAAGATTCACAATGCAGAGGTACTCTCTCTTTCCACATAATTTCATCATTCATTCAAGTGTAATGATGTCCAGTTCCCGTTTACTTCTGACATATGATCTTCAAATTCATCATAACTAAAAAGAAAGAAATGGAACACTCTTCCACTGACGATGAAGAGTTGAGGGAATATTTGCTTTTTCATGTTATATGCATTAACAATGACAAATTTGGCATCAGCTTCAATGTTGCTGTATGCAATATGCTATATCTAACATTACAACTTATTATCGAGGTTCTATATTTATTTTGAGAACTTAGGAAACATTTGCGGATGGAGTCAAGGTATATCAGTTTTGCAGGTAACACATAGTATTTCACTTTCTACCTTTGCTAAATTTGCGGTATGGAGTGGGATTCTATAGTGAATTTCAAAACTAATTGTCCCTGTGTGGTTAGAACTAGGTCCCATGATTTCCTGGCCACCCTGCTCCCCCGGCAGGTGGTTGATGGTTTGCTTCTGGGGATCTTGGAGCAGTAGGTCTGCTCAAAGGCACTCCATTATTTCTAAATTTTCTTCAAATAACCTTGAACTGTGACTTTAATTTCATGTTATATATTTTCGATTGTTTTAATCTGAAAAATGATCATTTTAAAATGATAAATGACAAATCTAAACCATTTTAATCTCTTAAAATATTTCGATAGAATTGGATGGAAAATGGTATTAACTACTTTATTACACTAAACATCTTGATGTCCTTTCTGGTCATTTGACATTTTTACGCTACTTATAAGTTATAGGTAACCAGTTTGTAAACTATGAAACTATTTATAGTGTAGTTTACCAAACTGCTAAAAATTGTAATACTACTAATACGTAAAACAATTAAAGTTCCTCATAATTAACTTGTTTAAGCTCAGAAAGAAAAGAAACTGCTAGGAGTCTCTCTATAATATTTTAGTTCTTGCAATGCTTTTATTCTGCTAGTAGCTTCTTTCTATGATGATTAGTTATTGCATATGAAGACTTTGTATTGCCTCCAGCCAAGATTTCTCTTAGCCATCTTGTTTTCCACAATAAATTGTCAGGTTTTATTTCGTGAAGATGCCACAGTGGATGATCTTATTGATGTAATCGAGGGAAATCGTAAATATATGAAGTGTATCTATGTCTACAACAAAATAGATGTCGTGGGTATTGATGATGTGGACAGATTAGCTAGACAGCCGAATTCCATTGTTATTAGCTGCAACTTGAGGGTAAATATGACATTCTTATAAAATCGTCCATGTTTAAAGTTCCTGGGTCGTAAATAACCATCTGTTGCGTATTGTTGAAAAGTTATTTCCATATTTTCTAGTCCTCGCTTAAACAATAATTAGGAGATTAATACAACTTAGTTGCAGTTGTGGACACAAATTTTCCGAGTGAGTTAATGTTAAGTTATCATGTTGCTTAAATAGCTGAATCTGGACCGCCTTCTAGCGAAAATGTGGGAGGAGATGGGCCTTGTCAGAGTTTATACCAAGCCTCAGGGCCAGCAACCAGACTTCAGTGACCCTGTGGTCCTCTCTGCGGTATGTCTCCGAGTCATAATAATTGAGAATGCATTTGTGAATACGAATTTCTTTGGAGCTGTTTTTATAGTAAATTATGTTCCTTCTCCTTCCTCATTGACATATATTCATGACATATTTTGGTTCTTGATGTTAGGGTGGCAGAATTCTGCTGCCTTTCTCTATTTCAAGTGACATATTTTACGTTATGTAATTTGGATTTTATTTTAGGGTAGAGGTGGCTGCACAGTTGAAGATTTTTGTAACCACATTCATCGGAGCCTGGTAAAGGATGTGAAGTACGTATTGGTTTGGGGCACAAGTGCAAGGCATCTCCCACAACATTGTGGCCTTAGTCATGGTCTGCAGGACGAGGATGTAGTACAGATTGTTAAGAAAAAGGTACCAAACTCTCTTGAAGACACTTTTCGTCTCTTAGTAAACGCATTGTTTTAGATAAAACAAAGGTAAAAAATAAGTTTTTTTAGTCCAGCTGGCTGTGAGTCCTTCCTGTGTTTCCAGTGTTTTTCCGCAGTGATCCTTTACGTCGATTGAGACAAGTTGAAAATAGAAATTGGCTCGTACATTGGAAGCACGATAGAGTCTTGTTACATAAGATTATATAAGAAAATCATAGTTATCAAACCCAGCTTGATCATTGACCTGTCCAATGTACATGGCACAAGTCAGAATGGTGGGTGATTGGAGAATTACAAAAAAAAAAATTCAAATTATACTGTTTGATTAATCTCTTTGAATTATTTAGCTGTATGTTTTTCTTAAAATTTTCTTTTTGATGATCGAGGTTTTAAATGGTTTATCTTGAACTTATTTTTTCTTCTTTTGTTTTTGTCAAGTTTTTCATTTCTTTTTCCTTTTGTTATAGACACATCATTGATACTATAAACTATTTTTCTTACTGTAATGAGTCATTTTAATGGAAAAAGGAAATATATTTTGGCTTTTGATTCACAACTTCTTTTTCAGATTGCTGTTTCCTGATTTCATACTCCATGAACCTTCTATAAAGCTTATATTTTTCTCTGTTTTCTCTGTACGGACTTTTTTCCTTACGAGAAATTAGATATAGGTTAGTTAAAATTTCATCTCTCTATACATAACAATAAATTCATAAGATAATTAATCATGTTGATAAATGGAAATGTTAGCAAAAATTCTCTTGAAGAACCTTTATTTGGTTATTACATTCATACACTATGTGGCAAATACAAGGAGCCCTTAATTTTATGTAAGTGTACATTGAAAAAGATTTGAAATTAGTGAAAAAATGGTAACAAATTTTTTCGTCATTGTAATTTTTATATACTACAATAGTATTGTGATTGGAGTGGCAGAGTGGGAATGTGTTTGAGGATAAACTAAATGTCACAAGAACGAGACTTAGCTGCAGCATCTCTGGAGCTCTTCAGGAGCCATCCAGTTTAACAAAACTGGGTCACTGACTTTCTTATAATCCAGCGAGGCTAGATGGTTTTTGACCAGTTCACTTGTAATCTAGTCAAGTTGACTCTCCCAAAATGGTTTGCACTGACGGGTCACCGCTTTTTCTGTCCCAACTGCTTGGGCTGGTCCGATTTATAACTTGCAGCAACCAGTTTACAAATTGGAGTGGCTCGACACAATGATAAGGGAAATGCAAGCATTTAAACTTAGAAGCATGTGCACATTTCACTTCCAAAATTCTTAGAACTATGAAAACACCAGTTTTTCTATGCTACTTCATAATGTGTTATCTAGAGTTGGGGTTTGTGGTGACACTTCACTATGAAGTCTGCTGTCATTGTCAACCTTTATGTAAGGCCTAAGATTTAAATAGAAGACCTAATGATTTCCCTTCTAACAACTTTCCAAATAATTTCTTGTTTTCAGTCTCATTTCAATTGATTGTAGTTGGCTGAGGATCGAGAAATTTTCGCGATGGTTGCATTCAAAAGATTTTTGCACAAATGTTGTGATTTTATGTTTCTCTCATTACTTATATTTATTATTTTGTCCGGTATGGATGTTATGCATGGTTTTGGACTGTGCCTGTAAGATTTTGGTCGGAATTGTGCTGTGGGTACGAAGGAGGTGAGCTTATAAGGGGGAGCTAGTCGAGCTTGAGCCACTCGAATATCACATGAATTGTGCTCAAATAATTTTGAATATATTATTTATTTCCTTATGTGATCAATATTTCGACACTATATGCGCACATGTGCTTGTTAATATTCGACTATGCAACTTATCTATCTGATATGCATGAGATATACTGGTTTTAATATTTGGCCATGCAATTTATCTATTTGATATACATGAAGTATACTGGTGCAAATACACTGAAATTATCTTATTTTTGACCACTGAATGGAATGCAAATCCTCGAAAAGGTATGAACCAAGTAACTGTCTTTTTGCAGGAGAGGGAGGATGGAGGTAGAGGAAGGTTTAAATCACATTCAAATGCTCCTTCTCGAATATCTGACAGAGAGAAGAAGGCTCCTTTGAAAACATAATGTCGAGTGGGGTGCTACGTCGTGGAGTTGTTGTGTGTGATGCATTCTACAAAATATTAACTTCTGGGATGAATTACATTTTGAGGGAACAGCTAAAGAATTTTAGTCTTCCTCTGAAGTGCACTCGCTGAGTAGATGTTTCTCCTCAAATTTGAGTAGTTATTTATAATTTATACTATGGTGTTGATGTAGAGCTTTGGAAAGATCAAGTTTGATTTCAATAGTTTGTTATACAAATTTCAACAAGATTTATATTCATAAAAACTGCTCAAAAACTAGAACTGTGTTTTGAGTTAATTACTCACTGCAGCTTCAATTTCACCCGTAATTTTGTTGCCTTCACTCATTCTTCATACGGTGAGACAAAATGGCCAAGTGATTAGCAATTTCAACAGAAAAAAAGCATGTTCTGTGCCATTTTTTTGTTTACATGTAGTGAACGACCTGAATGTTTATATAGTCACAAGATGATATTTTAGGTTTCAAGAACGATGGATGTGCTGTGGGATGAAGGTTTTTGATGTTATGGGAGCTGGAAATTTTTTGGTAGCTTTCTTAGAGTCTCTTTCCCTGTGCCTATAGAAACAACCACTGTTACTCTTGCTTGGTTGGTTTTCTGCAGAACAAATTGCTCAAAATATGACGTTTATTATGTCAATTTGAGAGCAGATGTTGCTCGAATTGTACGAGTAACTTTGAGCTTGTAGAAGGCTTTCTTTATGTCCACAGATTCTAGGTATTGTGTGAAATTTAGAGGAATTTCTTCATGTAGTTACCACAGATTAACTTGAATCCTGAAACGCCTGTTGCTCATGTTTTTCAACACGCAGAACTGAAACATTGTGGGAGGTGAAGCAAAGAGAGTTGATGTACTTGCACTTTCTTCTTGAGTTAGGACTTCGGCAAAGTGGTGGCAATACTTTACATCAGATGAGTTGGAGGTCCTATGTCAAAGTCGATGTGTTGGATGGATATAAAATGTAGTAGTATGGTTGACTGATGGGGGACCCTCATGGAGTGGACTTGAGGTGAAATCTCGAACTAAATTTTGGGTGATATTTGGGATCGTACCTTCACCATGAGTTATAACATTTGGACAACTGCAATTCGGTAATACCCTTTTACAATAGTACTGAAAATATAATTGTTTTAGGTCTTAACGTAGATTTGATAATAGCAATGAATCGATTGAAGAAACAAAAATGTATTTGTAAATAGAAAAATGGTGGTGGTGGTCGTGCTGGTGATTTCACACTAATAAAAAGTAAACAACTTCAAATATAAGTTGTTTTCCTATTTTGCCAGGCTTGGAAACTGAAGTCAGACCACCTTTCCCCTCGGAAGCATGAAAGAGGTACGCGTATTGCTATAATGTATGTCACAGTAATCGAGTTATTTGGAAATAAACATTATCGTTTCTTATATTAGTTCTTTGCAGCGTAAGTTCAAATTAAAAAGGGGATACTTGCAGCAAAAGTCTCAAAGCTTTGAAATACTAGCAGATTTTTCCTAGACTTTTGATTGTTGCAGCAATCACTCATAAGCTTTTTAAACATTGCAGGTGAAGTTTTTCTGAACAGTTTCCATCCACAATTTCGTCAGTTGACAAAAAGAGTAACTTTTTATTTATCACATTAAATAATTAAATTAATTAAAAAAAAAAAAACACAATCTTCTTCTTCCTCTCACCCTACGCCCACTCCCACACCCCACCTCAAACTCAAAATCAGTCACCCGATCACCGCCACCTCCACCTCTATGATGTTGCTAATTCTAATGAAAAAGATGTGTAGAAATGTGGTGCCATAAATTATCAGTGATTCAGTTAGCGGAGATTTTTCACTCATGTAATTGTTTACCATCTGGAGATAGAGTTTCAAATTTTATAGCTCAACCCCGAAAAAATTCAAGCTAAAATATTAGTGCTTAATTTTTATCTGCTTTTCGAAAAAAAAAATGGTTAGTTTTTCACTTTTACTGCGTCCATTTGAGAGTAGGGTGGAAGAGGGAAACAGAAAGGGTTTGACAGGAAGTTGCTTAAGGATGAATTTAAGATGGAAAAAGCACTGAACCGATTCATTTGCAGATTGATTGTTTTATGGTTCTTTATGTTGAAATGTTGTTCAACATCCAAGAAAAAATAAAGTGGGATGAATAAATAAGAAGAAAAAATCGAAAACGGTATTAGAGGCAAAATCTTGTACTGTGCTGTCGCATATATTAATACTATGCAGTCACATGGCCTATTGCAGTGAATTCTAGGGCCTCTTTGGGTTGTTCTATTCTATCGCATAGATTTATACTATGCGGTCCCATAGTTATACGAAATTGACTGTTGGAGGTCGATTTTCTATCGTTGCAACTCCTAATTGTGGTGGCTTTTCGGCCTATTTTGGCACCAATTTGTGCACATTGGTGGTGGCCTATATATAGGTGATACATTTCAAGCCAAAAATAAGTGAGAAACATTTGTAATTCATATTCATTCCAATATCATAGATCAAATTCTTGATTCACATTAATACTATTTTTTTCATTGTGTTCTTAAAGTTTTGGATGGTCGCACTTGTACTTCAGTGTTAGATCCTTTACAAGGCTTGATATAATCATACGAACCATTTGCTAAAATCCTTAAGCATATCAATCAATCCCGAGAGGAGGTAAATATAGTTTGAGAACAGCAATTACACGTTCCAGCTTTCGATCTTGTTCTTATCAAGTTTCTGGTATTAATTATTTTGTTGTTGCATTATTGTGATATTATTCTAGTCTTTACTCTATTTCTCCTCCATATTTTCCAACACTTTATTGGATAAAGTCCAGAACAATTTTAGAACAAAAATAGTCCTTTTGCACTATGCTAAAAGATCAAGACAATTTTAGAGCTCAGTCACAGATCACGGCGAGAGGTGGAGGAGGCGATTGTGTATCTTTTTTTTTTTGGGGGGGGGGGGGGGTTTTTTTTTTTTTTTTTTTTTTTTTTTTTTTTAAATTTAATTTTTTAATTATTTAATATGATAAATTGAAAATTACTCTTTTGCCCCTTTTAAAATATTAAAAATGTGGTTAAAATTAAATTTCTTTGATAAATTGTTGATGGAATTTGTCCAAAAGGACTTTACCTGCAACGTTTAAAAATATTAAAGGTGATGATTGTAACAAATCAAAGACTTAAAGAAAGTCTGTTAGTGTTTCAAAGANTCGACTTGATCTGTTTGACATCACTTCTTTAAAGCGCGATATAAATGATGATGATGAATTATTCAAACTACCACACGTGTGACAACTACAGGTGTCATGTCCAAGGTGAGCAATGTGCCAAGCAATTTGGGGGCAAGGTTAATCAAATGGGGCCTGGGGCCCACTGAAATTATATGATCGGTAACATATAAATTTCTTTAGACTTGTGGAGGGGCACCCACGTGCACATGTACAACAGGGCTTGGACATATGGGCCAGCCCATCACGACAATTGGGCTTCAATTAGTGTTTTAGTTGAAAGTGCTAGATCAGATTGGGACCAAGTTATAAATCAGCCACATCTTATAGAGAAATTAATTTCTTTATTTCCCCCTTCAAATTTTTTTCTTCAAAATATTTGTATATTTGGATTCTATGAGTCCATGTATTTAATACATGTGAAACATGTTCAGTATGCATTATTACGTTATTATACATTATTGAATTGTATAATAGATAAAATTTAAGATCTTTTTCTTTTTAATAATGTTCAGTATTATCGAAGTCTTATCAACACGTTTTAACAGCAGATACAAGAAACCATTCAAATCGTGTTGCACATACCCCAAACTCCATTAATGGAGAAAAATGTTCTTAGTGACAGAGATAGTCGAGTGTGTGTAATGATAATTCATATGGGATAGGAAAGAGGGTTCATAGAGTACCAAGTTACTCGTGTAATTGTTAATAACGACCCCTCAAACTCCATTCACGGAAAAGAGGGTTCTTAAGGATGGAGATAATCGAGTGCATATAATGCTAATTCATCTCGGATAGAAGAGAGGATTCATATACAGACGAATGGGTGTAACAATTCACACTCCAAAAGAGAAAAGGGGGTTATTAGTGGGATCTATAATTAGAGATAATGCAATGAATTATTAAACCAAGTGGCCTAGAAAAAAAGGCAAGAATTGCAACCAGAAACATTAAGCCCATGTCCATTTCAAATATGCTTTTATGTTTTCCAATATGAGAAAAAAAAAATAATGCCCATAGATGACAAATATGATGATAGAAAAAAAAGGGCCAAAAGGAGGATTAATTAGCCAACAATTAGATATCAAATGGAAACTACAGACAGGTACAAGACTGATGCAGCCTTGAATGTTTAGAGACAAAATACTGTATTTAATAGATTATTGTCTGGTATTTGACCTTTGTTGTAGCCTTGTACAGGGACAAATCAGAAGTGGAAAAGTCTCGTGGACACCCTTACGTACATAAATTACGTATACCAAGCACAACTCATCACAAGTAGATGTACCATAAAAAATAAATAAAAATAAAACCCAACTTTTTTCTTGTAACTAGTAAGATCAAGAGACTAATCCAATCTCGTTCAAGTTACGAGTCCAGAAAAATTAAGAGACGAATGACACTATATATACTTGATGTAGATTCACAATGAGTACTACGATTAGCTCACATGAAATACTGTCATTCTCCGTGCCTACGAACATGACGGTTACTTACTTTTTGCACCTTTAGTTGTAGATCAGGTCGAGCTCGTTCCAAAATTTTTACCATGTGTGTTATTTATTGCTATAACATGCAGCATAGAGTAGTTTAAAATATACTTAAAACAAATCAAGACCTATATATAACCTCAAAAATTAAATGAATTTTGCCAGTGAATTGTGCATGGTTGGTATGTAACAATCCTATCAAATTCTTGCCCTCTAAATATACAGCAATGATATAAGCCGTGATTGTAACAACTCATTTTGGATTATCGACAGCATTTAATATATATAGATGATTAATTCAAGTTCATAGACCAATGTATATAGATCTAAATTATTAGTGGTTGGATTTGTTATTGTATCTAAATTGGAAATATTTAAAAAAAAAAAAAACAAAACCATTATATTATTTTTATTTTCTTGTTTCAATTTTTGGGAGTGAATGTATTAGCTTGCTTAGTTTTCAAGTCAAGAACTTGATGAAATGATATTTATAGGAACAACGCTACTAAAAAATCAAGTTTCAGACACGAATTTTTTGTTCCTAAAGTCTCAATATCCGTTGCTAATAATCTTCACCAACGGAATATTTGCAACTACAAATCCATTGGTAATTTGAGGGTCGTTGATAGTTAC